AGAAGTTAAATTGGTTGGGGCTGGCGCGCAAGAAGAAAGGATTATAAAACCCTAAACCCTAAACCCTAAACCCTAAACCCTAAACCCTAAACCCTAAACCCTAAGATGACGGAGCAAGTTCCAGAGTTTAAACTTATTTTGGTGGGTGATGGGGGTGTAGGAAAAACGACGCTGGTGAAGAGACATTTGACGGGTGCGTATTTGTTTATTTATTTATTTTATTTTATTTATTTTATTTTTTTTTTCTTTCTCTATTCTATAAACCCTAATACTACAAAGAGAAACACAAATGCAGCTCACAAAACCCTACCCCCAACCCTGCAGCAGACGCACTGTGGGGCGGTACTGGAGTTTATGTTTTTTTATCTTTTTTTATTTTTTTATTTTCTTCTTTTCTTTCTCTCTTTTCTTTATAGACACCCTGCGGTGTATCCTCACCTCAGCAGCATTTCTTCTTTGTCTCTGCTGCTGCAGCAGCAGCAGCAGCAGCAGCAGCAGCTGTATACACTGAAATATAAACAAACACGTTGCTGCTGTTCTTATTTCTGTTGTTGTTCTTTCTCTTCTCCCTGTTGTTATTCTTCTTCTTGCTGCTGCTGCTGCTGCTGTTCTTGCTGCTGCTGCTGCTGCTGCTGCTACTTGTGGCTGTGGTGGTGTTGCTGCTGCTGCTGCTGTTTTGTTGCTGCTGCTTCAGTTGCTGCTGTTGTTATTTCTTTTCTCTTTGTTTCTCCCGCTGCTGCTTGCTGCTGTTTTTGCTGCTGTGCTTTCTTCTGCTTGCTGCTGCTGCTGCTGCTGCTGCTGCTGCTGTTTGTTATTTCTTTATTGTTTTTGTTTTTGTTGCTGTTTGTTGTTTCTGTCTCTGTTTGTTTTTTGTTTCACTTTGTTTATTGGGTTGCTCTGTATTACTTAGCTTTCTTCTTACACTGTCTAGGGTTTAGGGTTTAGGGTTTAGGGTTTAGCGAGGGCCTGGAGCTGTTGTTGCTTCTGTCTTTCTCTCTCTCTTCTTGCTGCGCTGTTGCTGCTACTTTCTGCTGTGTATTGTTTTTTTTTTTTTTATTTTTTAATTGTTTTTACAAAACAATTATTTTCGGTAACGTTATATAATCCCTTCTTTCTTGTTTACTATTTATTCCTTTATTATAAATAAGTAAATAAATAATAAAGAACTAAAAAATAAAAAATAAATATTTATTTATTTATTTTTATACACAGGAGAATTCGAGAAGAAATACATTACAATCAATCATGATCATATAACATCTCTAAACAAAAAACAACTAAATATAAAACAACTAAATAAAAAATAAATAAAAAATAAATAAATAAATAAATAATTAAAAAATAAATAAATAAATATATATTTATTTTTATCTACAGGTGAATTCGAGAAGAAATACATTCCTACATTGGGTGTAGAAGTGCGTCCGCTTCGTTTCTCTACAAATTTCGGGCCGATCGTTTTTAATGTTTGGGATACAGCCGGCCAGGAAAAGTTTGGGGGGTTAAGAGATGGATATTATATTAAAGTACGGTTTAGGGTTTAGGGTTTAGGGTTTAGGGTTTATAGGGTTTATAGGGTTTTATAGGGGGGGAGGGGGGGGTATTGGGGTTTAAGCGGGGGGTTGGGGGGGTGGTTGTTGTTTTTTGTTGTATTTGTGTATATTTATGAATTTTTTTTTTTTTTTTTTTTTTTTTTT